GGAGAGTGTCACACATACACATAGAGGCACACGCGAACACCGAATCCATTTACTTTCTTGTACTCTATCAGCAGAACGGCTAAATGAAAAGGTTATTTACTTCCGCTGCTCCCTCCAGTGCACCAACTCTGTAGATGAAGGAGCCATTATTTTTGAACAAATTTATCTGTTGATTTAGAAATGCAGCAGCGTTTCTTTTTTTGGGATACAAGACATGCCGCTCCCTCCTCCCCCTCCTTTCACCCCCCTCTCGCTATCTGTCTCCCCCTCTTATTGATAATGAGAGTGTTTCAGGTTGTCTGGCTGGACGGTCTAATCTCCTGCCGGCTGCCAAATTTGTATCTATTCATGTCGCAGTAAGACAGAGAGGGCGAGGCATGATGTTCCCGCAGGAAGCAGCCGGTGACTTGGGCTGCAGTTGCCTCATAATTACTTCTCTCCTGACCTCTACACATATCCGTGCATATCTGGGATGCCTGAAGTCTTCATGGCAAACAGCTGACTAAGCCGTGCATCCATTTCTTAAATCTATATGTGGAGTAGACTTTTGGGACAGCTAATATGGGAAACTAGATTAAACACACAATGGAAAACGTAAGAGTTTTCATCCATACATGCACCCTTTTTCAAGGCTACACTTAGCTTGTTTGCAAATCTAAATTCTAGGCTCCATTCATAAAATACCATCATGGCTTCTTTAGGATCCATTCATGACTTCCTTACTTAACTACAGAGTATATGAGTCAAAAGGAATCACGTTGTCTGTATGTCACCTGTCAATATCAGCCAACACAAGTACTGATCAGGGCTGGAGCTGCCAGGTCTAATATGTGACATTGCAGCAGATTGTGCTGTGTGATGTAATTCTTTATTACAGGGTTAGGCCTACTCCAATATACATGGTTGATGGATTCTTGTGTACCCTGCCCCCCCCCCCCCCCCCCCCCCCCCTCTATAATCAACCATCTTTCTTCTTTTTTTGTGTCCAATTACAGTTGTATTAACCCCATTACACGAACCATCAGTCATGTAATTGTCCAATCAGCACGAAGATCAGGCTCCTTATCAGGTTTCCTAACAAATATTAAGACCAACTGGAAACAGTACAGATTCACGAGCCCTTGGGAGAGGGCTCCATACTAGAGACCTGCACTTCACCCTCTTCCCGGTCATTCTGTGTCTGTCCGCTGTTCTTTATTTTTATCATCTCAGCTCTCTCCATCGTCCTGATTTCCTCTTTTCATTTCCTTATCTCCTTACTAGGATCAGTCAGTCATGTAAAGATGTTGTCCCCCCTTTTTTTTTGTTCCCCAAACACTCTTTTGTGTCCTGGATAGCTCTCCCGTTGACCTGCTTTCCAAATCTAATCTCGAGGGTTTAATCAATAACGGAGATGTATTAAAGCCTTTTTTCTTTTATGGGCCTTTCATTCAGCCTCTGTCACAAACACACACACATGCACACACACACACACACATGCACGCGTCACTGACATCGTCATTAGATAAACATGATGACTGTGTAGATGTAATTACTGTTGAATTAGCCATAATTAGCACCAGCTAAATCCAAGAAGGATTATAGGCACGCACTGCTGTACAAGAATGGTACAGCTTGTACTAGTTTTGATGTAAATGTAGAGCACAGCATGTCCTATTTTTCTTTGCGAGTTTACAACCTCTTAATCTTAGCTCCAGGTGACAGAGGGCCGAGTTAAGTTACAGTGCACCTAATTCATCCAACAATCACCTTTTTTTTGTTTTGCAGTTTAAACAACCACTTTATTGTTGTGGATAGATGAATGGCTATTTCACATGTGACTATCCAGTTCTTGGAAGAGTACCCAGACCTCACAGACCCACACAGCTGTTCCTCCCCAGCAGTATTAAAAGAATCTAACAGTGTGGCAGTCACTGCCCATTTGCTCACTCAGAAATGAATGCTGCACATTATCCATGCTAGCTCCGAGTCAGAGGAATGAATGCAATTTGACCCTGTGATCTCACCTATAACAGCCTGTGTGCTTACTTGATGATGTTGTTTCCCTTTCCTTAAACGTTTATCCAAGTGATAGGCAGGAACCTGTCCTAGCTGATACAGGGTGAAAGGTGAGATACACCAAAGCAGGTCAGCGGTCTTTCACAAGGCTAAAGAGACCACACACTGTCACACTGCCGATTTAGAACCGCCAGTTAATCCAACATGTATATTTTAGACGGTGCGAGGAAGAAGCACAGCTGCACATGCAAACCTATGCAAAGAAAATTCACATTCTAAGCAATACTGCTTGCAAAGCCTTGTGAGCTACCTAACAGGCCCGCATTTTGTTTTTTTAACCACACTGTAGTTTTTACTCTTTCTTTTTCTTACCAGACAATTATTCAGGTATTTAGTTTTTCTTTGACCACAGTTCTTGTTAATTAAAAAAGTGCCTATTCCCAGAATTCTCATCTTGTGTTTATCTTTGCATCTGAGTCACAAAGTTGAATACACAGCAATATTTCCAAAACCTACCAGGGCCTTTAAAAAGTGCCCTAGTTTCTGAAGGAATAACTAGAAATCTCAAAGATTCTTCTTTCAGATTTCCATCCATTGCTTGATAAAGATTACAAGATTATATGTTAAATAAAAGTTTCAGTTTTACTGTCTTCCTCATGACAAAGTCAGAGGCTCCGGAGCAGACTTGACAGCTGATAACTGGTGCCAATGCATAATGCTTCCTTTTCTTATATATCTCCATTTTTATCATTTTGTAATTTCTTCCAGTGCCACTGGAGTCTGTGGCAGCCCACAGAACTGTATAAAAAGCCACATTGACTGGGGACTATGAGGACCTCAGTTCTTTTCACCAGGCTTTATATCTGTCTCTTGGACCGAATGTTAAACTTTTATATTTGTTGAATCAAGTCAAGTTCAAAGACTCCAAATATCAGTTTTAAATTGTACGTATCATCTGGCATATTAGGCTAGGAAGGGGAATTCTCATACCTAGCCTTATCATTTTATTAACGCATTCACTTTCTCAGGCAAGAAGTGAACTCATATCTTCGAAACTCTTTAACATATCTAAATATAGTTTTATAGGAGCCGCAAATAATGACCACTAGAGGGCAGTGCACTGATCAAGAACCAGCTCCCAGTTGAAGGAGACAGACAACCTCTCTACTTTTAAGATTAAGCCTAAACCTTTGAGAGGTGAGTGAAGAAGACACACTCAGTGCATCATGGGAAGTGCCAGGAGCCTATGCCTAGTGTAACTAAAGGAGGATTCATGGTCACTCGATCCAGCCCTAACAATATGCTCTCGCGTCCAGTGCCGCCTCCTCTCCCCCTGCCTCCATGCACACATGATTCCTTCTCATATTTCCTTCTCTGAGCCACTAGTGTTAACATACATAATCCACCTTAATTTAATTAACTTTAATTGGCTCTAATGAACTTAAACAGAAAGGGAGATCAAAGACAAGGTTCACCCGTTCGCAGTGAGTGCAGATAGGAGGTGTTGTCATAACAACACGATACATATCTACCACTGGAGGAAATTACTAAATGATACCTCCTTGATGGGCACTTTGTGGTCGCAGTCTGACCCTCACTTTGATGATTTGTCAGAAAGCCAACGTTCCTAAAAATAACAAGCAAGCTATTATGTGGTGAGATGTAATTTTAATGTATTATCCAGACTTTCATTCACAAACTCTGACCTTCACACCTCTATTGCTGGTATTAGGTCTAGCTTATAGGGTGGAGCTCTCCTCTAAGGAGTCTGCTGAACAACTGTGTGTTATTCTGTTTTCATAGAGGCTGATTTTAATAGCGCCTTCCTAGAGTATGACACGCCACATTTTCATCCAAACTTTCTATTCACACGTTGTCCCACGCACAGATATTCTCTATGACCTTCCTAATTTTTTTCTTTGCTTCCTTCTTTCTGCTGTCCCAATGCGTCCTCTCCCTTCCTGGGCGGTAGCTATCTGATGTGATGCAATCACAGTTTTATTGCCTCAAAGACACAGCCCAGGCTGCAAGGACACATCTTTCCCTGCTTTTCTTGCAGACACAAATTCCCTCCATCCCTGCGCACAGGTGTAAATGTAAGGGACAGAAAGATAGGTGCCACTGTGCTGTAGAGACACACAGCGGGGGTTTACACAGAGACCTTAGTCTGGACAAGCTTTTCCTTTTCACAGGTCAGTGGGGAAAAAAGGCAACAGTGTCTTTCCCTGCTCTAGGGTAAAGAGAACAAAGAGAGAGAACAATGAACAATGTCTAAGAAAATGATGGGTGTTTTTTTTTCAGTCCTTATAAACTCCTCCAGTCTGTATTTCCTTACGACTGACATTCACACGATAGCTCCATCTAACGAACAAAAGGGAGGGGGCATAGTCATTTCACGTTAAAAAAAAAAAGCTAGACATATGCATTTATTGTGTTCCATTGTCTTTTTTGGACTCTAATCTCTCTCCAGAGGAAGTAGAGGTAGAAATCGAACTGTGTGGAAAGCGGCTATGCTCACCGCTACACCACCAACTCGATCTTGATCTTAAATTCAACATGAGAGATGTTCATCTCAAACCGTCACGACTGAAGCTGCTGCTAATCCTCCAGCTGTCCATCAGTGACAGCTCAGTCTTGAACGTCTGGGATCATTAATGTGTGCTCGTGTGATACACAGAAACACATGAATCATCACGAAGTCTTCCAGCCCCAGATGACTTTTTTTTTCAGGTTCTGTGTGACAGAGAACTTTGAAATATTGCGTATTTCAAACAGTTTAGCTTGAAAATTGTTTATTACTACTATTATATCATGGTGGACGGTGTTTAAACAGCAGAAACACCTTTAAATGTGTTCCAGAAAAACAAAAAAGATTTAGTATTTATTCTTCGTTTTTTCTTCTTCTCTCCAGGAAACAGGAGCTGCTGAACATCTCCAACGTCCCTTTGGGAGAATGTCCCCCATCACCACCCCGCACTGCACCGCCCAGCATGAAGGTATGAGCAGCTAGACACACCTACGCATGTTTGCTAATGGTGGGATATGATATTTGTCTACATGTGTTAAATCAGCTGACTGTGATTGTTCTCAGTGTGAAATCCCTTTAACAAGCATGCAATTCAGAGACAGTGACAAACACCACTGTCACAAAAGTTCAAGAGAACATATTTGTGGACGTAAATAAAGCATGGTGTTAGTTCGGGCAGGCCAAAGCCAAGCGAAGCTACAATCCCGGCAAATCAGCTGATCTCAGTGCCAGTCCCCATCAGCTCATGGCTCAGCTGATTCTGGCTCTCTCTTGCAAATTATTGCAGATGAAAATAGCAGTTTTCCTACCGTTGTCCTGGCTAAATGTCAGGCGAATACAGGCTATTATGCTTTTACAACATCTGCTATCTATGCCACAAATTAAAACCTATAATTTTTTAAAGATTCAAATCAGGTTCATTATTTATATCTATTATTATATATTATATCTATTATTGCTCTCAGAGAACACAAACATGCTGATGTCATTGTGTAAACTCAGTCGCATGCCTATTTTGCTGTGACGGTTCCTCCAGGCGTGGAGTACTGTAATCCTTCTTTTTCCAATGTCTGCTTGCCATTAAAAAAAGGGATTACGTCTGGAGGCAAGCAGAATAAGAGCCTGAGATACAATGAATGCTCATCTGTGCCGCTAAATCTTGGCTTTATATTTTGTCTCGAAATTTTACAGGAAAGTGAAGGATGCGTTCTACAAGACATCCAGTAAAAGGAAATGTCTATTCATTTGAGTGTGCACTTTACCTTGGCTCCTGTTACCTTGACTGGCACTTGGAAATTTCCGTATATGACAGCACGAAGCGGTTTTCGAGGACCTGATCTCACTTTTCTTCCATGCTTGTCATTGTTTTGAGCTTCCTTTTGCAGATAAAACGTTTTGTTGTTAAAAATGAATTGTGATGTAAATTGAATCATGGTCTACTACAGTGGGACCCCATTTAACCCATTCTCAGACCGAATGCATCCTAACCAGGAAGAATTGTCTTCAAACTGTGAACCAAAGTGAAAAACAAAAATATGAGAACGTAGCTAAACTACAGATCTTGTAGATGATCATCTTCCTCAGGTGCTGTTACACTGACTCATGTGGTGTGAGGTATGATGTTGTCAGACACTCTCTCTGCACTACTCTCACACTAAAGCTGAAGATCTTTCTTTCTTTTTCCTTCAGCATGACAAAAAGAAAGAATACATTCTGTATGGAGGGAGATTAGCATGGTGAGGAAGTAGCTGATGGCTCCTGGTCAGGATAGTAACCTCAAAGCAAGCCATCATTACTGAGTCCTCTGAATGGGAGTTTGTCCACGGTGAGAGAGGAACGATTGAACTGAATTATGCTCTCAGAGGAATCATATGTGAGAGAAATTATGGAAGAAATATAACTCAAGACAGAAGGCATCAATTACCTTCTTGATGTGTGGCTGATTTCTTGTAATTATCAAACAGCAGCCTCCAATTTTGCTGTGAGCTAGAGTGGCCTAATGGCGAGATACTCATCATCAGTCACACACATCAGGCAGTGAACGTATGAAACATATAATTTCTTATAATTGCAGTTTACGGCAAATCCATGCCTTTTGTGTAGAAACATTTGTCTCCTTTCTCAGATCGCAAAGCACATGTTGATAAAATCTGTTTTGTCAGCACCGTGTCGGCGCTAATCCTGCTTTTATCCATTTTTGTTTTTTAATTGTTAGATAGGTGCTCTCGTAAGAAGCTCTTTACGTGGTTAGGAAAAGCGTTTAAGGTTATAGGCGTCAGAGGACAGCTCACGAGCAAACGTGTTAAGGCAGCAGCGGCGGGAAAACTGTGTTTGCTCAAGTGATGCGTTTAAGTGCAAATCGGAGGTACTTCTGGTTTGTTGAGTATTTCCATTTCTGCTGCTTTACAGTCAAAAGCCACTCACAAGCTTATATAACGTGTGTGATGTGAGTATTTTGAAATTCAGATCCAAAATGCTGAATGTTATAAACAAATAACCCCTTCTTGATCATCTGTAAATATAATATTATTCTGACATACATGCACACCAGCCACTTCATTAGGTAAACCTTGCCATTCTTTTTGACTTCTGAACTCCCTTAAACCGTGGAGGCACAGATTCAACGGTGTGCTGCACATCCGTGAAGTGAATCTCCCATTAAACCACATCCCAAAGCTGCTCTGGTGGATTGAGATTCGGTGACTGTCTAGGTCGTTTGAGAACAGTGAACTCCTTGTTTTAGTTTTGTGACATGTTCTCTTATCCTGCTTGGAGCAGCCATCAAAACATGGGCACACTGTGGTCAGCAACAATGCTCAGACAGGCTGTTGTGTTTAAACCATGCTGGAGCTAAGGAGACCAGAGTATGCCAAGGAACAAGTGGTTATCTGAGTTTTTCTTGCTTTCCTATCAGCTGAAAGCAGTCGGACCCATTCTGCTCTGAACTCTGAGGTTAACGAGGCATTTTCATCCAGAGAACCACCGCTCACTTGGCATTTTCTCTTTTTTCATACCATTCTCTGTAAACCCCAGAGATGGTTGTGTGGGAAAATCCCAGCAGATCAGCATTTTCTGAAATACCCAGATCAGCCTGTCTGGCACCAACAACCATTACCTTTCTTTCTCCGTCTGATGCTCAGTTTGAACTTAAGCAGGCCATTTTGACCACAAATACATGCCTAAGTGCATGTGGTTGCTGCCATCTCGTTGGCCGATTAGATATTTGCTATAACAAGACAAAACGTTCTCACTCCCAAAGCGTAACATATTACCCTATGTGACAAATAGCCGGGAAGTTACGCTTTCGGCCACCCAACACATTCCTATGTTACGCATTCGGAAACAGGAGGAATCATGAGAACCATTTGGACTGAATCTACACATGTACATTTATTTAGTTTCTCCTCATGAATTGCTTTGCAAAACACTATCTAACACGATTAAGGTTGTGGTAAAGGTTAGGGTTAGGGTTAGGACTGGAATACACTGCTGGAGCGTGTGTTACTGCCGGGAGCGTCATTCTATTGGATTCCATCCACAATCAGGCGCATATCATAGGGACACGGCAGGTTACCTTTCGCCCCTGGGACGCCTCGGGATGTGACAAATCGTCGGCATGTTACGCGTCGGGAATGAGAATGCTCTGAACAAGAAGTTGAACAGGTATACCTAACAAAGTGGCCCATGATCAATTTATAAGTTAGCATACTAAGTAGTTATGTATTTGGTGGTTTAACTCTAATTTATCCACACCATTGTACAGCAGTAGACTGGCTTAGGGAGTGTATGCTAAAACAGAGACTGTATAGTTTGTGCCTGGAATTTCTTCCTTACAGGTGATCTAATGTTTGTATTTGTACAATACTTTATTCAGGTACTTCCTTTTGTGACATTAATAATGTGTATGGATGCTGATAGTCAACAGTCTTCAAAGAGAGCAACACCAAACTTGGCAATACCTTGGATGACTTACAGTGTGTGTGTGTGTATGTACTTGTTTAGGCATCTTTGAGAGGACAGAAAATTGGCATGTCACTATACTTGTGAGGACCAAGAGTCTCTTAAGGACAAAATGCCTGTCCATACAAGTTTTAAGGCATTTTTGAGGCTCAAAATAAGGTTTTAGTGTCAGATTTACAATTGTGTTATTGTTAGGTTTAGGCTATGGGTTAGGGTTAGGCATTCATTTTTGATGGTTAGGGTAAGGCTAAGTGTGTGTGTGTGTGTGTGTGTGTGTGTGTGTGTGTGTGTGTGTGTGTGTGTGTGTGTGTGTGTGTGTCAGACACATAAACAAGGGCATGACCTGTTTTGCTTTGACAAACAATTCAGTTTGCTGCCTTACTTGATTTTCCTGTTTAAGCTTTAGTGGCCATGTTTGAAGGCAAAACAGACATTATAAATGTGTGGGAGAGGGAAGAGCTCTTCTAAAATGTAGAAGGAAGGGTAAGAATAAGAGGAAGGCAGGGACACTTAAAGACTCAAATGTTTTGGCTGCCCTTCTCAAGGTAAGTCTGCACTGGTTACCATGCAAGTCCCAGCAGTTTGATGTGTAATGGGGAGTTTTTTCAACTTGGCGCGCAAGTTTATGATGAATGAATGTAGGTTAGTAAGTTTCTACTCATACCAACTTATCATTTCTATGTCAATACAACATCAAAGCAAGTGAACTTTAACTGAAGCTATCAGACATGTGTTCAAACTTTACTGTTATTGCCGCTAAGTTAATCAGTTACCTCGTCTTGCAGCTAATATTTGTTTATATTGTGACTTCAGAAATAGGCGTATGTCACATCGAGTCAAACTTCAGGTCCTCAAGTCACTGCAGGAGAAACAACCGCAGAGGCGCTTAGTGTTATGAGTGAGGTAGCGGCATCCTCTGCACCCTCTTAAACTTTCTACAGTTTTGTGCCTTCTTAATAGCTGCTTTACACCCACATGTGCAACATTTTGCAACCAGAGAGCTAAAATATCACATTTACACATGCGTGTCAGTTCAGCTGCGTGCCATTGGGCCACAAGTGTGACAAAGCCGAGCAATGCTGAGAGGGGTTTTTTTGGGGAGGGGGTTAACAACGCGTTCTCAACTCTCAACGGTTGGATTTCATGTACACCTGATAGCTGAGAGGTCAGGGCTTTTAGTTTCGGTCCATCCCTTCACCCAAAAAGGCTGTGCATCTAATTAATGACTATTCAAATAGAAATGCCATGCAAATGCTGCAGATGTAATGTTCTGATATTTGGAGAATAATAAAAATATATATTTATGAGAGAAAGCAGAAGAAGAATGTGAGCAAGTTCAGTTCCTGTTTACTTTTTTTGTGCTTTGTCATCATTTCTGTCAGTGTCTGGGTGGTTGTGTTCATGATTAGCGTGAGTATGTGTGAATTCTAGCTACCAGTGAGTCTGCCAGTCATTGAGTCAGTCAGGCAGACTGACAGGCTGATCGTGGCAGCCTCCACAGGTTGCCATGGGAAATAAGATATCCAGATGTCACCGGGCTAACACAGAAAGAGTGAACGAGTGCGAGCAGGAGAGAAAAGGCAAGAAAAACTAAGAGAGAAAAAGGCTAATAAAAGAAGAGAGGAAATGACTGAGTAATAAGAGAGTATAGGGGACAGATGAGGAGAATGACACACTGAGATTAGAGAACAACGGTGAGAAAAGGGAAGTAGGCATGTAGAGATATGTTTTAGACTGACAGTGGAACAGAAAGGCAGATATGGCTTCCTTGTCTTTGGACTTGTCTGGACACCATTGGAGGCTCAACATGCTGTCTGCACTCCCAAGAGCCCATTGGGACGCTGCAAAGGTGATCTGCTACAGCGTGTCTTTTTAGCTGCCCTGGGCACTGCTCAATGTAGCAAAAACTCCTTCACATGTGCCAGCATGACTCTAGCTGTCAAATATAATTAAAGTAGGCATTACACGACTTTGTTTGTTTTTGCAGAAGCAGTTTAAAAAGGAAGCACAACACTGCAGTTATAGAGTTGATGATGAGAGGCGCTCAACTTCTGTCTGTGTTTAAACCAGTTTTTTTTTAAACTGCACGCTATATATGTGTCAAAATCTGAGCACAAGGCCATAAGTGCCATTATCACCCTTGCAGCTTGTTAATGTGGCAAGGCGGAGACCCCGTGGGACAGGGCGGTGTGTGTGTGAGTGCACTTAAGGAAGCTGGTTTGTGTGTTATGTAGTATGTGTTGCTCTTTGAGGAAGTGGTTTTTTATCAGTGTGTGAGCGCGTGCGGGTGTGAGAGGCTGACCCAGCCCTCTGTGACGCTGCAGAGCTGATCCCGTGGAGGGGAGGGAGCGGCACAATCTACTCTTGCAGATGAATGTTATCAGTGTGAGGGCTTTAAATGCAGACGTTTAGGTTGAGCATTGAGTGTCAAAACACTTGTGTGAGGTGTAAATTGAAGCCAGCCAAAGGGCGATGATTGAACTGCTGCCGGCTAAATGGTGTCAGTAGCTTGTTGTCCTCTGACAGTCAGAGTTTAACTCTCTTTCAGCTTGTTTTAGGTACTTTGTAATCTATTTCTGTCTCTGTTCCAGTCTGCAGAGTTCTTCGACATGCTGGAAAAGATGCAGGTATGACGAAATTTTCATTCCTCTGAATGCCATTTCCTTCTCTGCTGCTGTCCCTCTATCATTTCCTTATTTCAGTATCCCTATTTCCTCCATTCTTTCCCTATCTTCAGCCAGCACTACTGAGCTATAGTAGAGAGGGTTTTTTTGCCATAAAAAGGTTCCTCCTATCACCTTGTTTTTCTTTGACCAAAATCAGCTTTAACATATACTTGAATAGGGCTCACGCTGATGATTTAATCACTGAAAGTCGGCGCTGCGTGTGTCTTAGATTGGATAATAGGCATGCAGGCGGCAGTGAAGAACATCCACACAAAGATCTGGACTGGCATGACTATTTTCTCCTTCTCTGTGTGGAATACATTGATTTTATTTTTGTTCTGAACAAAGGCTGTCTCTCTCTGTGTGTTCGACCACTTTGTGCCCTCCACAGGGCCCTAAGGGTGCAGGCTTTGAGTTGTCTGACGACAGATGGGGTTGAGCGAGGGGGGTTAAAAAGGGTGAGGAGGAAGAGAAGTAAGGTAGGAAAGAAAACATACCAAAAAGGGAGCATATGACCATAGGAAGATTCAGACAGAGATAATTGCTCATGCGGGTTTATTATTAGATGTCCAAGACGTGAATTATTAGGTGGTCATACTGGGAACCGTTAATAGGTTAAAAATAGAAAGCCCCATACTTTTAAGTCATTAGACTTTCTTCGCTCAGGATCCAAGAGGTGTGAACTGACCTGCAGCTGAAAGTTAAGGAATGCCAGTTTTATCCAGTGACCCCTGAATGCACCATATTAAATACCAGAAAAGCTCCCTCCAACAAAATTATAACATTTCCACTTGTTCTTTTAAACTTTCTTTGAGTCTGCTGATGATTTGTGTTTATTTTTTTCCTTCTATTGTCAACGAATCCTATAAAAAGACCAAAACAAACAATTCTGTGCATCCAAAGCCTGAAATATGATATTCCCCCACACTGTGGGACTCTACTGGCGCTCAAAAACTCAATGAGCATTGACTGACTTGTCGGCCTCTGTAGTTCATTATAGGTCAGTCTCATGTGCGCAGCCTTTTCTGATTACTGCAGTGAGTATTATTCACTGTACCACATACGAATTGATCCACTGTTGAAAATATTCTTTACAGTATCAGTAACAGCAAGTAAGACTGCCGTGTGGTCTATTTATAGTTAGAGAAACACAGCATCGTGTAAGAGACTGAGTCAAAAACAATGTAAAATAGCATCTGTGTTTAGAATAGAAGTAAACAGAAATAGCTAAGAGGAGACAAGGTGTGAGATGGTAAGTCAGCGTGAGGGAGAACCTGATTGAGGACATCACTGGAGTTATTTAGAAAGTGTAACTAGAGGATGACGACCCCCTAAGCAGCCTGATGATCAAAGAGTCACACACGTATGCAGAGTGAAACTGGCAGCTCGTCGGTCTTTGCTGAAGCTCAGCTTGCATTGACCTTCTCGTCTGGGCTCTGAACGTTTGGAATCAGGCTTTCAAAGTGTGTTCCTGATGATGAAGGTCACTTTTTTCTTTTTTTTTTGCTCCCCATCTCCGGTCCACTCCCTCCTTTCCTGTTCTTTTGTCAGCTTCACCAATTTTCACCCCTCTCTCTGCTTCCTCTGCCTTTGGCTTTTCTGTATGACCAAAAATCGAAGCCTCTGAAGACTCTTTCTGATCAGTGTCATACTGTTGACACTGACTCCCCGCTGACTGCAACAGCTGCTCCATCAGTATGCACTCAGACAGACATAAACCACTACAGATTAGACTTAGAAGTGTGTGCAAACACTTGTATGTGTGTGTGTGTCGGGGTTGCATTTGCACTCTTCAAATGAATTCTGCCTGACTCTTGGTATGATTGGTGGCAGTATAAGCGATGGCGGTGGCGTGGTGGTGGTGTGTATGCTAAGAGCTGTGAATCTACACACATGCATTTATTTCCTCACTCTTATTCTCAGTCATGTAGATGAGCTGTTCCACTGGGCCTGTAGCATAATTGGCCAATTTACTGTGTGTACTAGATTGGCTTTTCGTAGCTGCATATATTTGCACTGCGCTGCATACTATGAAAAAAAAGGCTTCGGCCTGCGCCTCAGCGTTTCTGTGTTCCAACAAATGATAATAACAAGTGAAGAAAGGAACACTTAGTGTGTGGAAGCTGGATTCAGAGAGGGGATGACTAAGTGACTGCATTACCTGTGTGCGCTCGTGCATGTGTGTGTGTTTGTGTTTGCAAGAGAGTATATTAGCATGTATGACTCACTCTGTTTTCACCTGTCAGCAGATGAGACAGTCTGAAGTCTGAAAACAAGAATGTTTCTGCACCCTTTTGGAACATTGCACAAATAAACTGAACTTGTATTTTTTTAAATTCTTTTTTGACCTCTTGTGCTTTTCCACTCTTATGCTGCGATTGGACTTTAATAAGGTCCCTAAAGCTGAAGAGACCAAAAAATGGAAGGTGTGACTCGATACACACTTGTTGATATCTTCTCTGTGGGTCTCATTAGTGTGTCTGTGTGTGTCACCATTTATTCTGCATGCTGTGCTTCATTGCTGCACTGCTTTGCTCTGTGGTCGTACTCCACGCCGCGAAGGAATTCTGAACACCCCGTGAAAGACTTTTCTCAGGGCTTTCAAAGTGCAAAAATCCATAACCCCCTGATCAGATTGATTATAAGTTGAATGAACTCCAGCTGTCAATTGATCCTCTCCGGCCTGCCAGAGTTGCTGGCTCCTGCTGCCACAGAATATAAATGACTGGCTGCCCGGAGCCCTGCACCACCAACAATGCAGACAGGCCTCAGCAGTATTTTAGAGGTCACACTGGAGCTGGGCTAGCAGTGCCAAAGGCACACAGCTCTAAAATCTCAGGGGCCACTGAATCAAACACACTCCCTCGCTGATGTTTGCTGATGACTTTGCATTTTGCGTTGCATCATCGCCCCGACGTTTATTTAGTATCGTGAGCTGCGCTCCCCTTTCGCACCTGTGTTTGTGGATGTGCTTGGATCTGTTTCACCGTCGCAAAAGTCAGTGAAGTTCATACAAGTTAAAAGTGTTACTGATGGTGTGTGCATATGTGTATGTATGTCTGTCCTCTTTTCTGTTACAGGATGACTATATCCCCTACCCACGGATAGAAGATGTGAGTCATTTCTAGCTCATCTTTCACTCAGCCATAATGCAAAACATTTGCAACCTTTGGCAAAACATGAAAAGCACACACTTTTTTAGTTGGTTATGTTTTATGTTGGTTTATGTTACACGCAAGGTCCTAGAGAAAGGTGGTCCATACCCCCAGGTAATCCTGCCCCAGTTCGGGGGTTATTGGATTGAAGATGTGGAGGCACCGGCAGGAACTCCATCTTCCTCAGAATCTAGTTTCTGTGAGGAGGAAGATGGAGGAGAGGGCATGAGCCCCGGTGGGGGGCACAGCTACCGTCTGGAGTGCAACAGCACAGCCCGTGCCTACCGCAAACACTTCCTGGGCAAGGTTAGTGCAGTCATGTCAGTTTGTGCCAAGCAGTGCGAGTCTTTAAAGTCTAAACTGCACCTTTCTCCCTCGCTTACCTCCTTCTCTGTATCCATACACCCAGGAGCACATGAACTACTATTGCACCGGCAGCAGCATAGGCAACCTCATCATGTCCCTGAAACACGAAGAGGCTGAGGGACAGGAGTTCCTGCGCATCATGCTCAGGTACAATCAGGCAAAGGCAGCAACAGTAGCTTCACTTCACATATTATAAGTTCAGGATTTAAAGTCTGATGTGGTTTTCCTTCATGTTCCTGTTAGTGATGGGCTAAACCAAAAATACCTGCCATAGCGTGATAATAAGAGCGAAAGGAGGATGAATGAAAACCTGTCCTGGCCTAGTGCCAGTTCAGATTCTTCTAAAACAAATGTTGTGGCAAAAATCAATCCATCCACACGACCCAAATGCCATTCTCAAACATTTGCGCTACATTTTTGTGACATTTCTGTCTGAACCACAGTCAAGCTCCAATGAATTATTCGACAAACCTAAAACCCCAAAGAAACACAAACACTGTTGGCATGGCTAAAACACACTAATAACCCAGGCCTCCATTCTGTTTTATTGCAGCTCTGTGCACTCCATGTTTGCCAAATTTCATATGATTTTGTTGCTCTGTGATGAATGTTTTTTGCTATTATCACAGTTGGTGACATTTTGATTAACGGGCGAGCAAAACAAATAGCATAATGCTTTGTTGTTACGTAGCCATTGTGGGTGTTGCACAGAGAACTGTAGCCAGGTGATTGCTAATCTTCTCTATGACAGATGACTGTGATAATGCTAGTGTTATGAGCAGCACTGCTACATTTAGAGTCAATGAGCCCAGTGACTTTATTTTTTCTTCAATTCGAAATTGGTTAAAATGATTAGTTCACATTTCCTCATATTCTTCCTTAAATTTCACCGAGACAGTGAACTACATGGACACTAGGAGTTAACTAGAAATCTCTTTGATGGAACAAATTCTTGAATGGTCCTATAAGTCCTTTTACATTCAGCCCATTTTGAGTGGGCGGGGCCAGTAAAATTCCCATTTCTGTCAGTGTAAGAACTTTAACTGCCCATTTAATCCCCATTGGGTTTAAAGTGCAACAAACAATTGTGTAAAATAAGAGAAAAAGTTACGCAGCTCCCTGCCCAGACTGTACTGTAATTGTAAAATAAAGTTTTTGTTCATTCACATTTTGCATTTTTTTTAACTGTGGGACCACTGTAAAAAATTGACATGTTAATTTTTTTTTTTTTTTTAATCTGTCACAAAATTACTTTAGTGTCCTATGAAATGCCATAGATGAGTTCTTAATCAGTAGGAAAACTTATGAAAACACAGTTAAAAGTCCAAAATGTATGCCCTCCAATACATTTTCCAAAGCCATCCAATGGGCCGGATCAGAGTCTTTGCCAGCCCGATTTTAGTCCACGGGCCTTATGTTTGACATCCCTTCTCTATGTGGATGACCAATTTATATTCTTTTTGCAGGTCGAGGACCAAAACAGTTCACGATAGGATCTCTTTAGCAGGGATCAACCAGCTGCCCAGCGTACCACAGATTGCCAAGGTAAGATAGAGCTCACAGGTACACCAGGTTTAAAGGCAGACAGTCTCCATGCACATATAGCAACATCAAAACATAATGGCACATATTCAGGGAGGTATGGTGAACACCTGCTATTATTTCAGAATAGCACTTCTCACAAGTAATAACTGGACAAAAATTGCATTAAAGAAGTCAAGGTAACAGGAAAAAATGTTGAAGTGGAATTGTTCCCTTCCTGTTATATTTCTTTTTGCTCTCTGACATGTGACTGATTATTATTATCTCTAAGACATTTTCTGGTACATTGGATTAGTGCTCCTTTACAGTGATCCTTCTTCTCTATGTTTTTTCATCTGTTAGGTCTTTTGTGATGATGCCACAGGGCTGAAGTTCAACCCCGTCCTGTACCCACGGGTGAGTTCATCCTCAGTTCCTGCACTGCAACCATCATCACACCCAGTGTGACCTGAGCTCTTCCGTCCAAGGCAAATATTCATTCAAGCTGAAACGAGGTAGCTTTTCCAGTCCCTTACGTCTCCTGAGACACAAAGGGGGGCAGTATAGCTGAAAGGACATTTAATTATAGCTGCCACAACTTTACACCAACGTTCATAAATAACTTTTCATGAATTTTCATATCTATAAATATTTGATGGCTTTTATTTAAAGCCCGTGGCTTTTGTAGACATTTGAGCTTTAATTATTTTTTGCCAGCATCACCTGCCTGTCCCTACACATCGGATTTCATTAACTTTTCAACCTCCTAAAATTTTATCCACAAAAACACGTCCTTCTTGTCACATTTTACCCCCTACTTCCTGCCTCTCTAACATCTGCCCTGCGCAGTAAGCATATTAGTCAAGAAACGATTGATGATACCGCAACTCTCTAAAATGAATTTGATGGATCTGTTCCTCCTCCTCCTCCTCTTCCTCCTGTGAGCCTGATGGAGGAGTGTGATGGAGCATGCTTTCAGCCTGTGCCTCAGGGAAGGAAAAAAACCATCTGTGTCTCCGTATGCAAGAGACAGCAACAGGATCACTGCCCTCGCTGGGGGCCGCTATACAGTTTGTTGCATGACAGCCTTACATAACATGGACCCAATAAAACCGGCCCTGGAGACGTGTTATAGAGAAGGAAAACACTTCTTTTTTAAAAGTGTACAACTTATAATCATAGGAAGAAAGTACGACTTTTCCTCTGTTTTGTTTACGTACAGGGATCCCAGTTAATAGTGGCTTACGATGAACATGAGGTGAACAACACGTTCAAATTCGGAGTCATCTACCAGAAGTTTGGACAGGTGAGCTATTTTAATTATCTTCCGCTTACTTTACATGTACCCTTTTATCTCATCTATCTTTCTCTTGTCTGTCCTTCACTTTATGTGCACGTATGTGTTTTCCTCCTCAGACATCAGAAGAGGAGCTATTTGGAAACAATGAGGAGACGCCAGCTTTCAAGGAGTTTCTCAGTATCTTAGGAGACACGGTTGAACTTCAAGATTTTAAAGGGTGAGGGTAGTAAAATGCAGTTCACTGGCATAAAACTTGTAGAATAATGTGAGAGAAAGTGGCAGGAAGAAAGCATTCAGTCAAATTTAAATGCAAAGAAACGAGTGAGTCTAAAAAGAAGGAACCTTGGGCTTATTACAGTGAAGAACATGGCGAGCTTTAATTATTGTAACCTTGGAGCAATTTGTCCTGCTGTTTTGGACTCAGCATGCAACGTAGGTAAACTGCTTAGTGCAACAGATTTGTGCAAAGAAAGTGCCACATGGACAGGTAATCAGAGCTTTGTTTATTGTAAGGTAGGGGGGTGGGGGGTGCCGCAAGCTTTCTCCTATAGGGTTACACTTGTTGCTTTTACATAAGGAGACTATAAATTGTAGCTGACACATCACATTTGAATGACACTGGAGCCAGTTAGGCTTAAAATGTGATGACGGGATGTGTAAAATGCATGAAACAGAACCTTGTAAGTGAAGGCTGGAGGCTGCACAGAGAACATGAGAGCTCTGATCCTGTGACAGGTTCCGTGGTGGGCTGGACGTGTCCCATGGACAGACGGGGTCTGAATCTGTCTACACCGTCTTCAGACAGAGGGAGATTATGTTCCACGTGTCAACTAAGCTTCCCTTCACCGAGGGTGATGTTCAGCAGGTACCACGGCTTAATTCTGCCTTTATTATTGTTACACTGAATGCATGTGTGGATTTAGCTGCCAAATGGGGCACTTGAGCCCAGAAATATCAATATTAAATTGCTTTTATTCAAAGGCACTGAATTCAGATTTGATCCCTTGTTGGAAGAATGGTTGAGTTAAATGCACTAGATCGTCTCACAGCTATTAAAGAGGACTTTAAAAGGAGCACATTCTTGCTTTTATGCCTCTGGTGCTGATGGTGTATCTGATATTCAGGTGTTGGTGTTGTTCCTGGATCATCATATGATTAATATTGATCCAGGTTTACTATTGCAAGTGATCAATCACATAGTTATTATGTTTTAGTCCTGCGACACAGAAAAGAACCTGTGGATGTCCACTCAGGAAAAAATCCAACAAAGGGAGCGTTTCGAGCCATCGTTGGGTTGGGGGTTAGGATTCAATCGTGGTTAGGGTTAAAGGATCATCTGGTGCTGATCTGAAGTTAATACTTGAACAAAGTTGACCTTTCTTGTGTCATCTATATCTTTCAGCTGGTTTCAGAAACTAAATAAATTGTTCTTTGGCTTCTTGTGAAAAAACAAAGAAAAAAATAAAGGCGGATCAGTTACAAAACTTTTAAAATCCATTCATAAAAGGAGTAAAAGAGCGACTAGGTGGCCTAAAATGCTGTAGGTGTGCATTAAATCACTTATTAGCAAATCGTCACCCCAGTATAGTATATACCATATAATAGCTTAAATGCTACAGAGACTTTTGCTTTTAGTGTCTGCAGTGAGCTCTCAGTTTTGTGCTGAATCTCATTTTTCTGAAAACATGTTCTATTCTAAAGTTTTCAGTGTACAGGAAGTAGAAGGGAAAAAATATGAGTAGCCAAAGATGAACAGCTTCATCAACGAGTGACCTTCAGTGTTCTTCAGACTCTGACAGCAGCATCCGCACTAAATTACAGTGGGGGCATGACTTGGGTACACACATAACTGCATGTATTCTAAGACACATGTCAAATCTTGTCTGGCACTTGGTGGACGAGGTGTGAAAATAGCAGATGCACAACCAAAATCTGCACACAGTGTTAAACCACTGACCTTTCTGGCCTTTCAATCCTGCAAATGTATTATTTTAATGATCTCTAAACAATAAAATCTCCCCTCTGTTTCAGAGGAGAATTTTCATGAAGACTTTATGGACTTGCTATCAATGTAGCACGCTCCTCTTATTCTAATCCAGCACTGAGATAAGGCTGATGGGCCTTGCACTGGCAGTTATTAAATCTTGTGTTAAGATCTTTTCTTTTTAAACCTTCATTGTAGTCTTAAAGTGCTCGGTGACAATGAGCTTTGCCATCCTAATAAAAAACTAAATTGCTCTTATATAAGCCATTGCTGAGGGTTTGATGTGAAGTCTCTAAAATCCTCCCGAGAACCATTCAGAGGCTCATGCAGTGTAGAACTAGAAGCCATATCCCGAGCTCTTATTTTGAAAGTGTTCAAAAATAAACACATAGCAAAAACTGGTGACCCGAGGTAATTATTTCCTCCTCAGCTCCAAAGAAAAAGGCACATAGGAAACGACATTGTCGCCGCAGTCTTCCAAGAAGAGCCCACACCGTTTGTTCCGGACATGATCGCCTCCAACTTCCTGCACGCCTACGTCCTGGTGCAGGCAGAGAACCCCTGCACAGAGCACACGACATACAAGGTACAAACAGGAAAATACTTCCTCTCCTTCCGTGTGTGCTGTAGTGGGCCGGTGGCCACAGTAACATGTGGCTGTTGCTTGTTTTATGCTGACAGGTGTCTGTTACGGCGAGGGAAGATGTACCTTCATTTGGACCTCCCCTTCCAAACCCAGCCATCTTCAAGAAGGTGAGCGGCAGATGTGATCTCAGTATGAAAAGAAGCGCCACCAAGGCAGCTCGCTGTCTGGGCAGTATTTACTTTTAAGGGAATAATATTATATTTTCTATATATTGACTTTGTTTTCTTTGTTTTTTAAGAGGTTTGAGTGCAGTAAAAATCAGATAAGGGTCACATGGCAGTAGATAATGGATAATAGGTACGATTTGCAAATAACTTGTCATAATGAATTAGAGCTTATTATATTATATATAATATTATACTACAGTATATTTCTAACTAAGCATGTCATTTGTTTTCACTTGAGACAAAGGGAAATGTGAGGTCAGAGGTCAAATGTGGCCACATTATATTTAAAAAATGATATTTAGAATTCCCCATATACTAGAATCATTTACCAAATGTTGCTAATACAAACAAAGGATGTATTTTCCAAATATAAGCACAGTTTTAAAGGTAAAAGTCATTTTATGAATGTTTGACCTTATTTGACCATAAAGAAGAGGTCAAACGGTACTTTCTATATCATTGCAGGACACACAAAAAATAGTTTTAAGGCTTTTTGTCATTTTTTGGTCAATAAATCATTGTAGACCTTGGTGGACTTCAAGGTCTCTACATCCCCAGTTTTTATCAGTTCCTTGAAAACCTTTTGAGCTGTTTACAGACAGAATAACACACCCACACCAAACACTACCAAAAACACACCAGGCAGAGTCAACTTTTTGACCTTGACTCCAATGACTTGTGCTGACGAAAAGCTAAAGTTCACTGAAATGAACTGATATCCTTCGCTGGCAGCCAGTCACTCAATATGAAGAAGAAGAGTAGTGCTTTTGGCAGGAAATGATACGCTGACCTGCAGCACGGATTGCCTTTCAGTGAAAATACACTTTTTAGATTTCCAGCAGAGAGTTGGTTAGGAGATTGATGCCAATCTTAAAGTAGGTAAGAAGCTGTAGACTTCCTGTTCATGGAGAAAATGTCCAAAGGTAATATAATAAGAAAATACAGTCACAGGTATTCAGTATCTCTACAAAGTTATTGCTTAGTGAAGGATGAAAGATTTATTTCAGGATTCTGTCACAAAAGCAAAAGTCCAATGCAGAAAAAAATTAGAGACACTGGTTTCAGCATTCAGTCGATAATAAAGCTGCTCACTGCAGAATAAGAGGATGAAAAGGGGGAATTTGAGGCAGATGGGATTTTTAAATCATTGCTCATGATCACCACAGCACAATGAGCTGAGGCACTGTTGTCTGTATATCGTTAAGGTCACCTTTTCCTTTCCTCATTGTCACCCTCCCCATTCCTTGTTGCTCATCAACTTCCCTCCTCGCCTCTGTCGCTCTCTAGGGCCCAGAGTTTCGAGACTTCCTGCTGACAAAGCTGATCAATGCTGAAAACGCCTGCTACAAATCTGACAAATTCGCCAAACTGGAGGTGACACACGCGCGCACAGCTACACCAAAACACCGCAGCATGCCTTCGTTCCACTCTGCCGATTCATCCCTAATCGTTTTCCCGATGCGTTCCTGCTTGTGTGTGTGTGTGTGTGTGTGTGTGAACCGATTTCAGGGGCGAACACGAGCCGCGCTGCTGGACAATCTCCACGACGAGCTGCACAGACAGAGTCAAAGCGCGCTTGGTCTGGGCCAGGTCGGAGAGGAGGACAAGCTTGAGAACGGGGGACACGGAGGCCTGCTGGAATCCTTCAAGGTGAACATGAGCCTAGACAAAAAGTACATCGTTCAATCCTTTCTCAGCTCTGTGACATTTATTTAATCACCGTCATTACAGCACAAGAGTGCCAGGTTTGCTCGCTGTAGGTCAGCGAAATGTCACAGGTCTGCAAGATGACTTGAGGCGCTAAACCATTGTTATCACAGACGCTCCTGGATTTCTCAGTGCTCGAGAATTTTGACCTTATACTCACAGTGTGTGTGCGTGTGTGTGTGTGTATTCAGTGTGAACATGTGAACATGCAAAACGCTGCGGCGCTAAATCTGTATGAGACTGTGCCTTTCTCTTTATGAATTTCTCTTCTGCTTCCTCTCACCAGCCACCTAAATCTCTCTAGCCCATCACACCGCCATTGCACGTGCTCACTGAAGGCTGGAGTGTCTTTAAAAGGACCGTCTTGAATGTGTGTCTCTGTTTGTCGCCACGAAAATGTGTAACTAATGTAATCATTTGATTCTATCGCTCTTCGCAGGCGTTGTGGACGGCGGCTTTGCAGCTTCTGCAGTCGGTCCCAGGGGGCGCTCTTATTGTTGCTGTCGTGGCGGTTGCTGTGTATTACCTTTCTGTGTCACTGTAAATGCACGTGGGGGAATTATATGATGATAAATAAAGACGATCTCATATGATGTTGTTTGTGTGTGTGTGTGAATTTGAGCTGGTCATAGCTGAGGCGGATAGCAAAGGTGGGAAAAGTATCGACATTTGATTTGAATGTTACCGACCGGAAGTTATTATAAACTCCTTTTACATCAATGAACCAATGATATAAATAATGAGTGTAACACAGTTACAGTACTCTTTCTTCTCTAACTCACTTTTTCTTCTTCTTGGACAACTGCGCCCTCTTGTGGTCACCTTCTTGACACTGCCTCCCCCCAACTTCATTATTTCACACTGTTTCCATTACTTGCTTCTACTCCTTAACCACCTCCTCTCCCTCATCATGAGCTCATCTCTCTTTTCTTCTGTTTCTCCAGAGAGCCATGCGGGTCAGAAGCCACTCCATGGAGACTATGGTAGGGTCTCACCGTCACAGAAGCCCCGGTGTAGGAGGTGGTGTTCCAGCCAGCCTCAGTGGTGGAGGTCTGCCGCAGAGCACCAGCGAATGCACAAAGAGCACCTTCACTGTGAGTTCACTTCAGCAAGATGTGACTTGAGCTAAAAGCTTTGGTTCTTGTTCATTTACTCATCCATATTTAATGTTGGAGGATTTTTGGGGAACATTTTTAAAGTGCTGCAATACTAAGAGAAGCCAAATTCTTTATTCTGTTATCCGCAGCCTCCTGTACTGTCAGCCAAGTCTCCCCTGAAGAGCCCTGTGAAACGGCGCTCGGGTCTCTTCCCCCGTCTCCACTCCAGCACAGAAACTTCTTCAGACAAACACACGCGTGGGTAGGTTAAATGTCCCTGCATTCAGAAGTTATTACTGTTACAGTCTTTTTAAACAGCTACCTTTTGACTTACGGATTTGCTTTTTGTGTGCAGCGACCAAAAGTTTGCAGAGAGCTGCCTGCTGTCCCAGGACGTGAAATCAGAGACGTCATCCAATCCGAGCTCACCTGAGATCTGTCCCAACAAAGAAAGGTGAGACCCAAGCTGATTTTATCTAAAGAATACTTTAACAATACTGCTTAATGTTTGCTTTTTCACGTCAGTACAAATTTTACTCACGGTTGCTCCTCTGTGTTCTCCTCAACAGGCCATTTGTCAAGCTGAAGGAGTGCGGCGGCGGCAGGCAGAACATTTCTCGTTCTTCTTCCAGCACCAGCAGCTTCAGCAGCACCACGGGAGAAACAGAAGCTCTGGAAGAACTGGAGATGGTGAGCCCAAACTTTTATTCATTCATTTGAAAAGAAGGAACGAACGAAAGAAAATGTGTTGTGCTGTTGAGAGTTACATTTTTAAAGTATAAGAACATTGAAGAGATGGTGCAGAAAGCTGCATCTGGTCTGAAGGAAAAATCGCACAAACTTGGAAGAGTTGGTCGGATTTGTGCAAGATGCATTAGGTGGCAATGGACAAATACAAACATACAGATGGTTGCACCCTCGTGCAGCAAAGAGGATGCATGTTGAAGCACAAGACACAATAAGACAGCTGATCAAGTTGTTTTGCTAAGTCATCTACACAAGGCAGAGGAAGAATAGCAGCCTACGACATCATCTCAAAATAGTATTTCAAGTTTAATCTCGAAATTTTGACTTATTTTTTTTTCTTAATGTGGCCCTAATATTCTGTCGTATCTGTACGGAGTCAGAACCAAAGGTTTGAAGTTGTTGGTGGTGTCAGTGTCGTGGATGAAATAGTCTATAATTACTAAGAACTGCTTCGTAGTAAGCGCATGTCAATTATGATGATTGCAGCTGTACTTGATCGCCTTGTATCAGATAAAACCGCTTCAAGGTGTTATTTTATCTTACCTGAGAAACGCTGTGAGATTGTTCCTCAGTGTTTGGCAGGAGATCAGCTTGCACAGATGATCCCTACGCAGTAGAAACTCTCAGAGAGAGATAGAGACACAGCTTAAATGCCAGAGAAAACTGTTAAAGCAATCGTTAAGTGCCTATGCAGCAGTAAAGTACACCAGCGGGCATCACAAGGGAGAATCTGATAGGCTGGATGGGAAGAAAAACGCAGTCTTTATTAGCTAATAGAGAGACTTGAAGCAGCAGATTAAAACTATTTGTAAAGTTTGTAGGGCTCAGTTCTTGTTTCTTTGTTATTTTACTTTTTTAAGTCCATTAGTTTTTACAACCTTTGGAACTATGTGAATTAGCATTTGTAGAGTCTTTATGCTACATTTAGCTCGTCAGCTAGCATACTAGCTAGCTAGCACACGCACACGCACACATACATACATATATATATATATTTATATATATAGGTATATATTTCAAAACCTTTACCCCTAAAAAACTTCTAGGAGAGCTATTATGCTAATCCACTTTGAAAGCGCTCTGAGTGCTCAGATAGAGTAGAAAAGCGCTATATAAGAACCAGTCCATTTACCATGTTAACCTATGCACTGTCTCTCTAAAGCATTTTTTTCTGCTTTGGTGTGTTCATGATGTCTGCGAGCGTTGTGCTCACCTCAGTTTGTGTTTTTCTTGCGTCTGTGTGGGTTCTCTCCAACTACTCCACCCAAAAGCGTGTAGCTACTGGGGTTAGGTTGATGATTCTAAACTGACTGAAGGTGTGAATTGTTGTCTGTGTTAGCTAGCAAAACTATTTTTAACTATGAAGAATGCAAATTGACTCTAGTAGAATGCGGGAATCAAAATATTGAGTTAGAAATAAACTTAAGACACCGCATCACCTATTTTAATCTAACCCATTTTATGATCATTTCTCCCTCCAAGCCAGCTCTACCCAACTCCTTGCAATGTTTCCCACTTTGCTGAGGGGCAAGTTAAATTCAACTTCAGCAAAATTCTGCTCCCTCATTTCAGAGAACCTCTTTTAGCCCCCCCACCCCCGTACGTCTGTGTCCATATTTAACTTTCATCCTCCCGCTTTCTCTCCTTCCCTCAGGCCAGCCATCCACCCATAGCTTCTTCCTCTGCCTTCAGCCCCGCACTCAACATAGAAAGCCAAGGGTCCTGCACCCCTGTCATCATGTGCCGCAGTCCAACAGGTAAGCCTAAATTCACGAAGCATTTGTGGACTAGCTTTTAGTCCAGTTTGAACAGAATGATACGCCAGAGGTGGATGAGTTCATCTTCTAATGAGCATTTCCTTTGTTTCCTTTCCGTCTCCTCCCTTTTTTTCCTTCCACAGATGGAAAAACTAAGACTTCACCGAGGTCAAACTTGAAGTTCCGCTTTGACAAAATGAGCCACTCATCCACGACTGTAAGTCTGATACTTGAACACTGCCTTGTTAAGGTTTTTCGGTAGGATATTTCCAACTTTTTGAGACAGAAGCTCCATAAAACTTTTAAAGAGAGAAAGTTCGACATTGAAATTAAGATAATTATGGCAGAACGCTGGCAGCGATGCCAAAAAGTCCCCTGGTGTGTGTGTGTCTGTCTGTTTTTTAACACTTTGTCTATCTTATAGACATCTCATTATCTCTGGAACTCTGTAATGTGACTGAAACACTCAAGCTGATGTTGGGTAATAAGCCCGGACTGAAAGACGTGTGCTGAACGCTCTCTCCTCTTTTGTTTTTTTTTGTTCCCTCTTTTCTCTTTCAGTCTGAGTAGCTTTGAGTGGAACGGAAAAACCCCAACCTTGCACAATGAAGGGACAGCGCCTGCTGACAGAGCTGCAAAAAAATAAAACAACGACAACAAAATAAAAAAGTCACAACAACAACCACAAAATCACTGTAGAACTACTTCCCAATGCCAAGGATAACCTGAGAAGGTTACCGAGTCCCCCGCACACTAGAATCTAACTGAAACTACTGTGAGTATATAGGGAGGAGAAGCAGCTGACATTTTGGCTTTTGTTTCTAACCAGTCTTTAGCTACAGATTAGTCGATGCTCGCTGCACCGTTGCTCATCCACCTTTCGTGAGGGTCTTTGGCGTGGCTGTGATACTGTGAGTTCAAGCCGAGCTCGGCTTTTTTTCCTCAAGCGTCTTGTGTGATAGAGAGAAACACGATGACCTCCTAGAAGAATTGTGACACGAGTTTATGGCCGAACTGTTAACCTTTATCTCACTGACTGTTGAGTGCCCAGTGGAGGAAGAAAAAAAGAAATCATTAGCCATCAGGATGTATTTGCCTTCGCCCTTGAACAGACGAAAACTGCGCACAGAAGACTCGCAGTAGCAAGATCTCAGAGGCGCCGCGGCTGGGAGTCTTCTCCACTGTGCTCTCTGAGCTTGTTCTTTGCATAATGTAAATGCTTTTTTCAGAGAACAAGTTTTGATTTCGCCAAGGCTTTTTGTAATCCCGCTAGCTGCTGCATTGTGTCTACTGCACTATAAACGTGACGTGTCTCCTCCTAGGACAGCATTTCTGTATCCGTAGGGGCAACTTCATAGACTTGAACTCAAGAGCAGGGTGGGGGGCGGGGTGGGGAGGGGCACTGCCAACACATTTTGCCACAAGCTTCTTTTAGCCAAAGCTGCGCCTTACAATCTATCACACACATAGAAAAAGCCCTTTTCGCCGCTGACACGTTCTTTCTCAGCCTCCGTCTCGTCTCTGTGCGTCTCACTATGTGAGAGGACGGGGATCTGGTTACAGCACAGTTGTGGGTAGCCGAGCTACACCCACATTTGCTCAAAATAGATGTTGCACTCAGTGAAAACATTTCACCTTCTGATACCTCCCATTGAAACTCGCTAGCTCGGTGTATCGGCGTGTACGTACGGCAGCTCTTTAGGACATCTCCAGGGTTTTTCCCAGGATGTGAGCTGATGAGGATGACTTGAAAAATATGAAGTTCAGGTTATAACAAACCACCTATGAAGTTACAAAAAACACTTTGAATGTAAACTATGAGCCTTTAAAAAAAGGACTTAGCTGTTGCAAAAATATAAGTAAAAACTGCAAAGTTGGTGCTCGCAGGCACAGAAGGACCACGGGTCTAATCTTCAACTGACATTAGCCTGGAAAAGAAGCATAAAAACACACACATTCGCTTCCAGTGTGACCAAAAACAATCAAGCTGGTGTGTGTTAATGTCGGTGTAATCTTACTGTGTAGGGAACAGTTCCTGTAGTTTAGGCTGGCCTAAAAGTGTTAAAGGTTTAATAGCTAGTTTCACCCAAATTGCAAACGCCCTCTGTGATTTACATGTAGGTCACCTTTTAACTTGCCAGGAAGCTGTTCTAACTTGAGTAGTACCTTTCTAATTTATCAGGACTAGAGGCAAGCGTGTTGCCAAACACACGCTGCCCTCGGTCGGTGATTACCTCGAGTAAGGGAAGCAGGGATAGAAATCCTCTGGGGAAGTTCAGATGTCATATAGTTTGTAGCAGGTGTCGCCTAAAAAAAAAAAAGCCCTGCAGCCTTTCCTTTGTTAATACGCTTAAGTTATTAAACTTTTTTTGCATCGATGTCATGTAAAAATTGTTACTGCAGAGTACGCTAATTAATGGTGAAATGATTAAAGGAAATATATTAAGTTAAAAGATGTCTAAACATGTATATGTATATTTGGTTATGTAATGTGCCATTGAGAATTTATTCTAAAATAAAATGTTGTATTTTGTGTCATATTTGTGTTGTTTCAGGTTTTCTGTTGTTTTGTGTTTTTTAATGCAATCTCTCCACACGGGTGCTTTTCTTGTCTATACTTTAATGTGTAATATATTTGAACATGTGAGGGAAGTTTGTTTCACATTTTGTTGAAACTGCAGCACCATCACATTATTCTGACAGCAGTTAATGTGGTCACATTTTTAACAATACAAACCAGAAGATCTGTGAAATCATCTCACAGAGCAGAGTCTGCTTACTGTAGCGCCTCAGGGTGGTACAGCTGGGCGATGCAGTATCTCCTTATTATATGTAACATTACATGAAAGTGATCCTTTTTTAAAGTGGCTCTTTTTCTGGTTCCTACCTAAAGTAGTCCCATACAGTCCTGTGGAAAAGTAAGTCCACACTGTTATTAAATAGCTTCCAAAATAAACTTTAGCAGCTGTTTTTAGTCTCTTACATCCTTTTGGATGAATTGTGGCCCACTCTTCTTTCTTCAGTTCATTGAGGTTTGTTTATGCACAGCTCTCTTAAGATCCCGTCGCAGCATATCAGTCGGGTTGAGGTCTGGACTTTGACCAGGTCGTTGCAACACATCAATTTTTCTCTTTCTCAGCTGTTCTGTTGTAGATTTGCTGCTTTGCTTGGAATTATTGTCCTGCTGCATGACCCAGGTGCAGCACAACTTTAGCTGTCATATCGATGTCCTCACATTTGACTCTACAATATTTTGGTATTCAGGAGAGTTAACGATTGACTTACTGACTCCAAGGTTCCCAGGTCCTGTATCTGCAAAACAAGCCAAAAACATCACCCCTCCACCACCGTGCTTGAGCTAGTATGAGGTGTTTGTGCTGATATGCTGTGTTTGGTCTTTCCTAAACATGGTGCGGTACATTACAGCCAAACAGCTGCACTTTGGTCTCATCTGTCCAAAGAACATTGTTCCAGAAGTCATCAGATTTATTCAGATGCAATTTCATAAACCTAAGTCGTGCTGCTATGTTCTTTTTAGAGAGAATACGTTTTCTTGTCTTAAAACATCCAAAAAAGCCATGCTCATCTGTTTTTGTTCATTTTTATCCACATCTAACCCAGCCCGCTGATTCTGTTATGTAGTTCTTCCCGGCAGCAGCAATTGCTTCTTTAAGAACATTGCTGATGTCTTCCCTCCTTGGCAAAGTGTTCACACACACCTGAATGCTCCAGATCTCCAAACTGCCCAAACCTCGGCTCTCATCGAGGCGTTCACACCTGGTGATCAATTTATCAGATGCATTTGATCAACTGCACCTGGCTGCTACTTACTCTTTTAATTCCTATGGAAGCAGCAAAGGTCTTAGTTTTTCATAGGACTGCACAGAGTCCCGAGAAAACCTTACAGGACTATACATGTGTTTTGGTTTTTGAGAAGGAAGCTGCATCTGTGGTGAGAGGCTCCTGCTCAGTATGACAGTATGGTAGGAGATAATAAGCACAGGCGTTTCGCTCTCTCCTCCTGTCCTGTGTTACTAGCTAGCTGCTGGCTTGTTTCGGTCAGGTGATGTGGCTGGCGGTTGTAATTTGGCAGGAAGAGTAGTTCCTACATGAAACTGCTCAGTACAGGGAGATTCATCTGTAACTAGCACCTCACACCCTCCCCCCACAAAAAAGTCTAGATGGAAAAATAGCAAATATGGGCCAGAGGGAAAAACTTGTGTTTGATTCTGTGGTAAACTGTCACTTTAAAGACTTCACGAAATGCAGAGTATCAAGCTTGTATCAAAGATGCAGTTTGCATCAAAACAAAAACAAAAAAACACGAGAAGTGGCAGCTACCACGTTCAGTGTTTCGTAAAGACATATATATGAAATGATATAACTTTATGATTTAATTCATAAAAATAATGCATAACTCCATTAGTGGTTGTCAAATCTCAGGGATGAGTAGACAGTTGCAGAATGGGCAGGCTGTCTCGTGGCTCCCTGCTGCTTCAGTGCACCTTCTGAAATCACTGCATACATCACCTGTAGCATTGTGAAAAG